CCGTGCTCCTGGTCTTTCTCTGCCGTACTCCTTCGCACTTGCGGCATATCCAGCCCTGCTCCTTAGCTCCTGGGGTCTATTCTGCCGTGCTCCTGGTCTTTTTCTGCCGTGCTCCTTCGCTCTTGGGGCCTAATCTGCCGTGCTCCTGGTCTTTTTCTGCCAGCCCCTTAGCTCTTGAGGTCTATTCTGCCGTGCTCCTGGTCATTTTCTGCAGTGCTCCTTAGCTTTTTGGGTGTATTCTGCCGTACTCATTTGCTCTTGGGGTCTATTCTGCCGTGTTCATTGTTTCTCTTTGCTGTGCTCCTTCGCTCTTGGGGCATATTCTGCCGTGCTCCTCATCTTTTTTCGGCCGTGTGCGCCCAGACGCTCTGCCAAAACGACCACCGCGACGATCCGCACGGCAGGTGCAGGAACACGGCAGAGCACACAGAGCACACAGAGGCACGTCAGAACACAGAAGCACGGCAGAACAGGAGCACGGCAGACCATACAGGAGCACAGCAAAACACACCCCGCACGCACGCCGACACGCGCGCCACGGCATACTTGCGCGGCATAACAACAGCATAGCATTTTCCACATGTTTGGTGGACTATATGGGGTTCGGCGCTGCACCGATTTTTTCGTTGGCGGATTCCCACAAGCAGCGATATCGCTCGAGACATCCTCCGAATATGGAGGTGTTGGAGGCTATCGTTTAAGACGTTTTCTGTAAACAAGTGACATGTTCGTTCGAGGCATCCTCAGAACATCGGGATGCCGAAACATGTCCAGGATTTTGTTGTGCATGAAACTTAGCGTTTCGCCCGAGACATCCTCGAACAAACGAGTTGTTAGAACAGCTGTTTTACCACTTCTCATATAAAACATTGCGCTTTCGCTCGGGACATCCTCAGGAAATCGGGAGGGGCGCGGCAGACCGAAAAAAGGAGCACAGCAGAAATTGATCATTTCGCATGGGACATCCTCAACAAATGAGATGTTCGCAACATCGCCTCCGCATCGTTTTCGAAGTGCTTCAAGACGAAGAGATGAGAGCCCCCAAAGGAGCCCAAGATTGCTCCAACAGCGCCCTGGAGTCTGCCGAACATGACGAGTTATCTAGTCTTTCTGCCATGTTCCTGGTCTTCTTCTGGTTTGCTCCTTCGCTCTTGGGGCCTATTCTGCCGTGCTTCTTAGCTCTTGGGGTCTATTCTACCGTGCTCCTGGTCTTTTTCTGCCGTGCTCCTTCGCTCTTGGGGCTTATTCTGGTAATTTTCTGCCGTGCTCCTTGGCTTTGGGGGTGTATTCTGCTGTGCTCCTGGCCTTTCTCTGCCGTGCTCCTTCGCACTTGGGGCATATTCATCCCTGCTCTTTAGCTCCTGGGGTCTATTCTGCCGTGCTCCTGGTCTTTTTCTTCCGTGCTCCTTAGCTCTTGTGGCCTATTCTGCCGTGATCCTGGTCTTCTTCTGCCTGCTCCTTTGCTTTTGGGGTCTATTCTGCCGTACTCTTTTGCTCTTGGGGTCTATTCTACCGTGTTCCTGGTCTTTTTCTGCCGTGCTCCTTCGCTTTTGGGGTTTATTCTGCCGTACTCCTTTGCTCTTGGGGTCCATTCTGCTGTGATCCTGGTCTTTTTCTGCCGTGCTCCTTCGCTCTTCGGGCCTATTCTGCCGTGCTTCTGGTCTTTTTCTGCCGTGCGCGCCCAGAAGCTCCGCCAAAACGACCACCGCGACGATCCGCACGGCAGAATACAGGAGCACGGCAGAACACACAGAGCACACAGAGGCACGGCAGAACACAAGCACGGCAGAACAGGAGCACGGCAGAACACACAGGAACACAGCAAAACACACCGCACGCACGCCGACACGCGCGCCACGGCATACCTTCGCGGCGTAACAACAACAGAGCATATTCCACATGCTTGGTGGACTAAAGCGACGCTTCCCGTTCTTGTCCGGTCAGGTTCCTCAGAATGGCCATTTCGCCTGATACATCCTCACAAAATGGAGATGTTGGAGGCTATCGTTCAAGACGTTTTATGTTAAAAATTACGATTTCGCTTGAGACATCCTCGAACAACCAGGATGTTGAAATCGGTCGCGAAATCTTCTGCTCTTCGAAAATGGGGCTCTCGCCTGAGACATCCTCGAAAAAGTCGGATGTCGAAAAAGCTGCTTTCAGACCTCTTATGCCAAACATGAGCGTTTCGCCAGAGACATCCTCAGAAAATGGACATGTTGAAATCGCTGGCGAAACCTTCGGATCTTCGAACATGTCGTTTTCGCTTGGGGCATCTTCCAAAACATGAGATTTTGAAGTAGCTGTTGCACGGCATCTTTTGGGGCTGCTCTTGGAGGACCTCCAAGAGGGTCCCAATAGCAGAATCATTGAAAAACAATGTGTTTTTTCAATACTTTTGTTCAACAGTAAGCGTTTCGGTCGAGACATCCTCAAAAAACACTCGCCCACAGCAGGTGGAGTTCACTCCCCGCGCGAGTTCAGCCCTCCCTGATGATAGCGATGAGGTTGATGACGGTAATGATGATGATGATGATGATGATGATGATGATGATGATGATGATGATGATGATGATGATGATGATGATGATGATGATGATGATGATGATGATGATGATGATGATGACGACGGTGATGCTGATCATGATCTCGCCGTGGGTGTCAGCGCCAATTCTGAACTCGCGCGGGTAGTGAACTCCACCTGGTGCCTTTGGTGGACGTGCGGGGTGAGCGGCACGTCTGAACTCGCGCGGGTCGTGAACTCCATCTGGTACATTTTGTGGACGTTCGGGGTGAGCGCCACGTCTGAACTTGCGCGGGTAGTGAACTTTATCTGGTCCCTTTGGGGACGTTGTGGGTGAGCGGCACGTCTGAACTTGCGCGGGTAGTGAACTCCATCTGGTACCCTTTGTGGACGTTCGGGGTGAGCGCCACGTCTGAACTTGCGCGGGTAGTGAACTCCACCTGGTACCCCCTGTGAACGTTTGGGAAGAGCGCCTACGTGACATGTGACTTTATGTCGGTGCACGTTCTTGCCAAGCCATTCGATTTCACGCGCTTCCCGTTCATGTCAAGAAAGGTTGCACCCGGCAACTCGCTGGCGGATTTCTGAAAAATTGCCGTTTCGCTCGAGACATCCTCCAAAATTCGGCCCAAGAGGGGACTCCGCATCGACGTCGTGTTCGAATCGCTCTTGGAGGGCTTTCCAACGGCCCAAGGGAGGCCCAAAAGACGCCCTGGAGAGCCCCAGGAGCGCCCAAGAGCGCCCCAAACCCCAAGAGACCCCTAAGAGCGCTCTAGGAGCCACCCAGACAGCTCACAAAAACCCCAAAACGGCCCGAGAAGGGCCAAGAAGGCCCCAAGAGACTCACGGGAGCGCCCCAGGAGGCCCCCAGCGCCGAGACGGCCTAACAAAGCTCCCACAGAACCGCACGACGCGCCCAGGCAGCCCAAGAAGACCCCAGAAGCCCATAAGAGGACCCAAGGGGCCCCCAAGAAGCCCCCAACAGGCCCCAAGAGAACCCCGCGCGGCGCCAGGAGCAACGTCTTTTTCCAATTGCCTCGTACTGTCCCCTGTCGTCGTTGTCGTCGTCGTCATCATCGCCCTCCGCATTCCTCCTCGTGCTCGCCCTCGTTCTCTTCGTCCTCGTCCTTGTGCTTCTCTTCCTCCTCGTTGTCCTCATGCTCCTCCTCGCTATCCTCACGTTCGCCACGTCGTCCTCGTCATCGACTCCTCGTTGCCCTCGCCTTCCTTGTCTTCTTCGCCCAATGCGCCCATTAGACTACAGCGGCGCTTCCCGTTCTTGTCCGATCAGGTTTCCATGTGGGTCCAACGCGGCCCAGGACCAGCCCAACACGGCCTACGGGCGCCCGCAGGCAACACGTGCTGACCTTCCCTAATTCGGTGTTTGTGGGACTTGACGGCCCACGCAAAACGGCTCCAGTAGGT